ATCCAGAACATTCAGGCATGAATATTTCCCATGAATAACCAATCGAGAACATGCAGGCATGAATATCTCCCATGAATAACCAATCGAGAACATGCAGGCATGAATATCTCCCATGAATAACCAATCGAGAACATGCAGGCATGAATATCTCCCATGAATAACCAATCGAGAACATGCAGGCATGAATATCTCCCATGAATAACCAATCGAGAACATCCAGGCATGAATATCTCCCATGAATAACCAATCGAGAACATGCAGGCATGAGTATCTCCCATCTCATACTAGAACAAACCTAGAGAGTGCTGCTGAAGGAACGTTGAAATTGATTTATTTTACGAGGCGAATAATTGATGCGAGTGTTTGCCTCTTCAGAGTAATAATTATATAATACATTAAATAAAAGTTAAGCATCCCTCCAGGAGAGGATGGTATGTAGATGAATGCTTCAGAAAACCAATACGTTGATAAATAAGACACATGTGCAACATTTGGTTATCATTATTGTGGAAACGTTTCGCCCCACAGTGGCTTCATCAGTCCAGTACACAGAAGACTGGTGAAGATCAGAAGGAGTTTGAGGTCATCAGAGGATTGTATAACTTATATCTTCAGCACTCTTAGGCAGGTCCCTGATATAACTCCTTGTTAGCATTGTGTAATCTTAGTTACGTCGAGGGTGTTTTTCCTCATTCCTGGATCAGTAGGCTCGTTGTGCCTATCCCTAAGCCACAACATCCTGGATCAGTAGGCTCGTTGTGCCTATCCCAAAACCCAAACAACATCCTGGATCAGTAGGCTCGTTGTGCCTATCCCTAAACCACAACATCCTGGATCAGTAGGCTCGTTGTGCCTATCCCTAAACCACAACATCCTGGATCAGTAGGCTCGTTGTGCCTATCCCTAAACCACAACATCCTGGATCAGTAGGCTCGTTGTGCCTATCCCTAAGCCACAACATCCTGGATCAGTAAGCTCGTTGTGCCTATCCCTAAGCCACAACATCCTGGATCAGTAGGCTCGTTGTGCCTATCCCTAAGCCACAACATCCTGGATCAGTAGGCTCGTTGTGCCTATCCCTAAACACACAACATCCTGGATCAGTAGGCTCGTTGTGCCTATCCCTAAACCACAACATCCTGGATCAGTAGGCTCGTTGTGCCTATCCCTAAACCACAACATCCTGGATCAGTAGGCTCGTTGTGCCTATCCCTAAACCACAACATCCTGGATCAGTAGGCTCGTTGTGCCTATCCCTAAGCCACAACATCCTGATGCGTTTAGACCGATCTCCTTATCCAGTTGTTTTTGTTAAATATCTGAAAGAATAATAGGTAATGGACTTGCAACATGGATGTGTCAGTCGTGGCTTCAGAGGTAAAAAAAAATCCTGCCAGGTTCTTGGAAACCTTGTGTTATTATCTGCAACCCTCCCACGCTGGTGCAAGACTGTCCCCTCTCCCACGCTGGTGGAAGACTGCCCCCTCTCCCACGCTGGTGCAAGACTGCCCCCTCTCCCACGCTGGTGCAAGACTGTCCCCTCTCCCACGCTGGTGCAAGACTGTCCCCTCTCCCACGCTGGTGCAAGACTGTCCCCTCTCCCACGCTGGTGCAAGACTGTCCCCTCTCCCACGCTGGTGGAAGACTGCCCCCTCTCCCACGCTGGTGGAAGGCTGCCCCCTCTCCCACGCTGGTGCAAGACTGCCCCCTCTCCCACGCTGGTGGAAGACTGTCCCCTCTCCCACGCTGGTGCAAGACTGTCCCCTCTCCCACGCTGGTGCAAGACTGTCCCCTCTCCCACGCTGGTGCAAGACTGTCCCCTCTCCCACGCTGGTGCAAGACTGTCCCCTCTCCCACGCTGGTGCAAGACTGTCCCCTCTCCCACGCTGGTGCAAGACTGCCCCCCTCTCCCACGCTGGTGCAAGACTGTCCCCTCTCCCACGCTGGTGCAAGACTGTCCCCTCTCCCACGCTGGTGGAAGACTGCCCCCTCTCCCACGCTGGTGGAAGGCTGCCCCCCCTCCCACGCTGGTGCAAGACTGTCCCCTCTCCCACGCTGGTGCAAGACTGTCCCCTCTCCCACGCTGGTGCAAGACTGTCCCCCCCTCCCACGATGGTGCAAGACTGTCCCCTCTCCACGCTGGTGCAAGACTGTCCCCTCTCCCACGCTGGTGCAAGACTGTCCCCTCTCCCACGCTGGTGCAAGACTGTCCCCTCTCCCACGCTGGTGCAAGACTGTCCCCTCTCCCACGCTGGTGCAAGACTGTCCCCTTCTCCCACGCTGGTGCAAGACTGTCCCCTCTCCCCACGCTGGTGCAAGACTGTCCCCTCTCCCACGCTGGTGCAAGACTGTCCCCTCTCCACGCTGGTGCAAGACTGTCCCCTCTCCCACGCTGGTGCAAGACTGTCCCCTCTCCCACGCTGGTGCAAGAGACTGTCCCCTCTCCCACGCTGGTGCAAGACTGTCCCCTCTCCCAAGCTGGTGCAAGACTGTCCCCTCTCCCACGCTGGTGCAAGACTGTCCCCTCTCCCACGCTGGTGCAAGACTGTCCCCTCTCCCACGCTGGTGCAAGACTGCCCCCTCTCCCACGCTGGTGCAAGACTGCCCCCTCTCCCACGCTGGTGCAAGCCTGTCCCCTCTCCCACGCTGGTGCAAGACTGTCCCCTCTCCCACGCTGGTGCAAGACTGTCCCCTCTCCCACGCTGGTGCAAGACTGTCCCCTCTCCCACGCTGGTGCAAGACTGTCCCCTCTCCCACGCTGGTGCAAGACTGCCCCCTCTCCCACGCTGGTGCAAGACTGCCCCCTCTCCCACGCTGGTGCAAGACTGCCCCCTCCCCCACGCTGGTGCAAGACTGCCCCCTCTCCCACGCTGGTGCAAGACCGTCCCCTGTCCCACGCTGGTGCAAGACCGTCCCCTGTCCCACGCTGGTGCAAGACTGTCCCCTGTCCCACGCTTGTGCAAGACTGTCCCCTCTCCCACGCTTGTGGAAGACTGTCCCCTCTCCCACGCTGGTGCAAGACTGTCCCCTCTCCCACGCTGGTGCAAGACTGTCCCCACTCCCACGCTGGTGCAAGACTGTCCCCTCTCCCACGCTGGTGCAAGACTGTCCCCTCTCCCACGCTGGTGCAAGACTGTCCCCTCTCCCACGCTGGTGCAAGACTGTCCCCTCTCCCACGCTGGTGCAAGACTGTCCCCTCTCCCACGCTGGTGCAAGACTGTCCCCTCTCCCACGCTGGTGCAAGACTGTCCCCTCTCCCACGCTGGTGCAAGACTGTCCCCTCTCCCACGCTGGTGCAAGACTGTCCCCTGTCCCACGCTGGTGCAAGACTGTCCCCTGTCCCACGCTGGTGCAAGACTGTCCCCTGTCCCACGCTGGTGCAAGACTGTCCCCTCTCCACGCTGGTGCAAAGACTGTCCCCTCTCCCACGCTGGTGCAAGACTGTCCCCTCTCCCACGCTGGTGCAAGAACTGTCCCCCTTCCCCACGCTGGTGCAAGACTGTCCCATCTCCCACGCTGGTGCAAGACTTTCCCCTGTCCCACGCTGGTGGAAGACTGTCCCCTCTCCCACGCTGGTGCAAGACTGTCCCCTCTCCCACGCTGGTGCAAGACTGTCCCCTCTCCACGCTGGTGCAAGACTGCCCCCTCTCCCACGCTGGTGCAAGACTGCCCCCTCTCCCACGCTGGTGCAAGACTGTCCCCTCTCCCACGCTGGTGCAAGAGACTGTCCCCTCTCCCACGCTGGTGCAAGACTGTCCCCTCTCCCACGCTGGTGCAAGACTGCCCCCCTCTCCCTCGCTGGTGCAAAGACTGTCCCCTCTCCCACGCTGGTGCAAGACTGTCCCCTCTCCCACGCTGGTGCAAGACTGTCCCCTCTCCCACGCTGGTGCAAGACTGTCCCCTCTCCCACGCTGGTGCAAGACTGTCCCCTCTCCCACGCTGGTGCAAGACTGTCCCCTCTCCCACGCTGGTGCAAGACTGTCCCCTCTCCCACGCTGGTGCAAGACTGTCCCCTCTCCCACGCTGGTGCAAGACTGCCCCCCTCTCCCACGCTGGTGCAAGACTGTCCCCTCTCCCACGCTGGTGGAAGACTGTCCCCTCTCCCACGCTGGTGGAAGACTGTCCCCTCTCCCACACGTGTTCCTCCCACGCAGTAAGAGGCCTTGCCCCTCCCCCAAGGTACCGGAATGGGTGGGAGTAACAAGTGGGCTTCCCCAAGCATCACTTCTAGCACCATTACTGTTTTAATTTATTCTCCAATTTAAATTTAGCAATTAAAAATAAGAATATTTCTAATTATTATTTATTATTATTATATGGAAAGTGTTAAGCCCGCATGGGCGAAAGAGCGCTCCAAGCGGATAAGGAAGAGGGGGGATAAGAAATACGAGAATAATGATGGATAATGAGAGGAATAGAAGAATAGGAAGGTATAGAGACTTGAAGACATACTAAGGGAGATTTATGGAAGACGTACGGAAGGTTTATGGAAGACATAAGGGAGCTTTAAGTGAGACATAAAAGTCTTGAAGACATAAGCTGCAACACTGGTCAAGTGAGTGGCTGCTGGAGTTCAGGCAATAAGTTGAAGTTCGTGCAACCTGGAGGCTAGGAGGGAAGACCAGAGACGGAGTACAGTTTAATGGCAGAGATACAGGGGAGATCCTACAGGAAAGATCCTGCAAGATTCATAAAGGAGAGGTCCTTCAGGGATCATACAGGAGACATCCTGCAAAGATCCTGCAGGGATCATACAGAAGAGATCCTACAAGGATCCTGCAGGGATCATACAGGAGAAATCCTCCTAGGATACCTACAGAGATCAATGAGAGAGAATCTGAGTCATTGTTGGATCAGTCCTGATCACCGTCCATTCTCAAGACTTGTTCCTGTGAATGATTAGTTTGATCAAATATTTATTGACTTCGTTTACACATTAATGATCACATCTAGAGGAACTAGCAAGTGTGTAATAATGACATTATTGTTGTTGTTTTCAGAGGGCGTGGCGGGGAGCGGCGGGGAGGGCGTGGGAGGACCGGCCTCCACCACGCCAGCTGGTGGCGGCTCCTCCCCCGTCACCAAGCGCAAAGGATTCTCCAGGTCAGTACTTCTACTCTCTTACACCACCTCTTCTCCTAGTTGTGCTAACACCTTTTCTCCTAGTTACTGTTGTTCTAGTACCTCTTCTAATTCCTGCTGTGCACCTCTTTTCCTAGTTCCTGTTGTGCTAGCACCTCTTTTCCTAGTTCCTGTTGTGCTAGCACCTCTTCTAGTTACTGTTGTGCTAGTACCTCTTCTAGTTAGTCGTGCTAGTGCCTCTTCTAGTTACTGTTGTGCTAGTGCCTCTTCTAGTTACTGTTGTACTAGCACCTCTTTTAGTTACTGTTGTGCTAGTGCCTCTTCTAGTTTCTGTTGTGCTAGTGCCTCTTTTAGTTACTGTTGTGCTAGTGCCTCTTCTAGTTACTGTTGTACTAGTACCTCTTTTTCCAGTACTAGCACCTCTTGTAGTTGCTGTTGCACAAGCACTCCTAGTTAATATTGCACTAGTACCTTCTGAGCTAGCTCTTACTCAAGTATTTACCTCTTGTCCCTTAACTAGTTAATGGTCAAAGTTGAACCAGAATGTCCTCATAAGTTCCCGTCTTCCCACGTGCGAGTTATTTGTGTATTGTTCCACTCACGTTATTGCTTGTTTCTTTTCTTTTCTCTGACGTAGGAACTAGAATTTGTTCTCATTGAACATATTACTGTCAGTAGCTCACCGGAAGACTTGGTTTATATCAGCTTGGAGACTGGTCGTATCTTCAATAGATGCCACTAATTACAAATTCAATTATCTTCTGTAAAGGATGTTACAGTGCTGTGATTTATGTCCTCGTCTACTGTATGTCAGATATGAGAAATAATTGAGGCGAGTACGGTGCCTTGAAGGACACAACTTTTCACTGTAGCAGCCCCTGATTTCACTCTGTTATCTATTTCTATCACTGTGTTAGGAGGCTAAATATCCATCTGCCCACCTTCCTAGTTACCTTATTCTCCGGTATATAAGGCACACGAGCAAATAAAATGTTTCTAAACATTTGTAACATAACGTTGGTAAACAAGTGCTAAAGCGTAATCCAGAGCCTACTTTTGACCCTGACCTTGAGCATATAAGGCGCAGGCTGACTTTTTGTGGGGAAAAAGGGCGCGCCTTATATGACGGAAAATATGGTATTCGTTATGCTCGCATTTTGTGTTCAGCTACCCAATAGTCGAAGATTTAGACATGTGCATCAGTTGGGAATCTTTATTGATGAAATGTTTCGTCTTCGCAGTAGACTTCTTCAGTCAGATACAAAGGGGGCAATAGTAATTAAATAAGGATGATGTAATCAGTCCATCAACCTTGGAGAAAAAATATTTGAGGTGGTCAGTCCCTCAGCCTGGAGACGAGTTCAGCTCCATAGAGCCGAACTCTTCTCCAGGTGCATCCAAGATCATGTTTTAATGATTCAGCAGTTGCGGAAGGCAGAAGCGACCTCCTCCGAACCCATATTGACCTGCGTTGTCAACGCAAATACTGCGATACCATGTGATTGGAAATTTTGCTTCTTAAAAATATTGATGTAGGGCGTTAGGACTATTGGTCATTAGTTTTTTTTCAGTTGCTTTACTGCCACCTGCCCTTTTTTGTTGGTTTCCTCCTCGTCTTCCTTCTCTCTGCTTTCCATCCTTGTCTGTATTATTTTCCCGTGTGTCTTGGTTTATTTATATCCTTCGTGATTCTCGCACTTGCATTCCTTCTGGTTCCTCTTGATGCCTCCTCGTTTCATTCTTATTCTCTTTACTACTTCCTAATTCCTTCATCTCCTTGGCTTTGTATTGGACCTAGAATAATGAGGATATTTCCTCATTTATGAAAAACCAGAGTTGTATAACCCCAGTAAAAATTAATATCTTTATCACAAAGAAAATATAAATTCATTGTGTACATTAATATATCTTCTTGACTAGTTCCATCTCCTGTAAATTCCGTGTCAATTTTTTCCCATATGGTATGATATAGCTTTCTCCTGTTTTCATACCGGTAGTGGCCAGATGGAGTGTAGGGTGGGGTGAGAGTTTTTTGCATTTTTATCCTTGAAATGCTTAGACAATACACGATGGTCCGTATTCTAGGTGGAAGCAGATAGTTCTCAGCAGATAGTCTCGGTGTGGACTTTTAGTTCCGCTGTTATCTGGGTTTCCACATTTATTCCTCTCTTGTATCCTTTTCATCCTCCTAGGATCCTCCTGGCCACCTTGATTCCTCCCTGGTATCCTTTGCATATTCGCAGGCTCCTGACCACCTTGCAACACAATATCTACACGAATTATAGTGGTCCAGTGTGATGTTGCCTGGAATACCTGCCAGGTGCTTACTAGAAGTAATATCATTGTTTCTATCAGAATACATCCTCCATCAAAGACCTCACTACGAAGCGAAGTCCCACACTGACTTCCACATCAGGTGTTACACCATTCCCTGTGGACACTGCTCCAAGAAATATGTAGAGGAAACAGGCAGAAATCTTCCGATTCGCCTAAGTGAACATGGAACCGCCTGCAACAGGCACAATTTCAAGTACACCTGTGTCTTCCACAGGAACTCCACAGGACTTTTGATGAGTTGGAATGAAGCACAACTTGTCCTTACTGAATATGATCTTAAACACCGACGGTGCCTAGAAGTCTCGTTAATCGCCGTCACCGACACGGTGGAACAAAATACTGGAAGCTGCAAAATGTGAAAAATATCGGCATACATGTTACTCAGCTTTGCACACCACCACCCACCTCACAACACAGGAATCATGTCACCTTATTTTCAACCTGATGCCATCGCAGAAAAGCTTCCCTTACATTTTTCAGGTCACTATGTGGCATTCACACCTCATTTCCAGACTATATATATACTGTAATTTTCGAGCTCTGTGCTAGACGCGGTCAAGTTGCCACGACCGAAACGTTTTCTAATATGTCCTCTAAACCAGTTTGTCGAGATCAACTACCAAGGTTTACACCACACTTCGTATTGGATTGATAAAACCTTGGCTGTTGAAATGTTTCCGCAATGAAGATGTTGAAGGTTGCACAAGTGTCTCATTCATTTATATGACATCTCGCTGAGGGACGTGTCACGTAGTTGATGGGTTTCGGTTTATCTTAGACGCTTATATGCATTTGCTGAATGTGCTTTTGGTAGTCTGGGAGATGTCCTTTTGAAATACTGAAGTTGGGTGCTTGATATATCACTGCTGCTTCCACTGTGTCTTCTTTATGAACTGATCTTCTGTTTTGTGCTTATATTAGCTCTTTCTCAATTTATTAAGTGTTTACAAAAGTTCACATGTTGGAAGATGACAGAGATCTTCAGAGTTAACTAATGGTTTATGTTCATTGATTCTAGCTGTGAGACCACGACCAGTCGTGGTCTCACAGTATGGGCCTAGTATGGGCCTAGTATAGGCCTAGTATGGGCCAACAGGCCTGCTGCAGTGTTCCTTCTTTCTTATGTTCTTAACTCCCAAAGTTTGTGTTAACTTCCTTTTCTCTTCCTCGTCTCCTCTTTAAACATTATCTAAATGGATGTTAATCTACTTCTGTATATACATTATTTCAGGTTAGGCTAACGTTAGTTAATCAATGTTACCTAACTCTTACAATGTAATAATAGTAATGCTTAACCCTGGAGTATATTTTCTGGGTGTAACTGTGACTGTGTTGGAAACTGCAGTGCTGCTGGAGTGTTATCTGTTACGTAACTTAACACTCCAGTCCTGTGTGTTACAAAACTCCAGTACTGCTGGCTTAAGTATTGAAGTATTGGGTAAAAGGTATTCATGTCCCTAATAATGGTACACGAATACCTTTTACACGGCCCCTTCCCCCACCACTACCCCTCTCCCCCACCACTACCCCTCTCTCCCACTCTCTCTATTTCCCCCACCCCAATCCCTATCTATTCCCCCATCCCCACTCCCTCTCCATTCTCCTCGCCCCACTCCCTTATGATCCCACCTAATTTTGTTGGTGTCTTTAACTGTGTCTGCTGCCTCGGTACTCCCTAGACACACTTTTGGCCTTTCAGTGAGTATGTCTTGTCTTCTTTACTGCCTCACTCACCAACACTATCTTACCTCCCCCCTCCACCTCTTTTCTACTCTCCTATCACTGCTATCTTACCTCCCTCCTCCACCACTCTTCTACTCTCCTATCACTGCTATCTTACCTCCCTCCTCCACCACCCTTCTACTCTCCTATCACTGCTATCTTACCTCCCTCCTCCACCACTCTTCTACTCTCCTATCACTGCTATCTTACCTCCCTCCTCCACCACTCTTCTACTCTCCTATCACTGCTATCTTACCTCCCTCCTCCACCACTCTTCTACTCTCCTATCACTGCTATCTTACCTCCCTCCCCCACCACCCTTCTACTCTCCTATCACTGCTATCTTACCTCCCTCCTCCACCACTCTTCTACTCTCCTATCACTGCTATCTTACCTCCCTCCTCCAGCACTCCTCTACTATCACTGCTATCTTACCTCCCTCCTCCACCTCTCTTCTACTATCATTTCTATCTTACCTCCCTCCTCCACCACTCTTCTACTCTCCTATCACTGTTATCTTACCTCCCTCCTCCAGCACTCTTCTACTCTACTATCACTGCTATCTTACCTCCCTCCTCCACCACTCTTCTACTATCATTGCTATCTTACCTCCTTCCTCCACCAGTCTTCTACTATCACTGCTGTCTCCCCCACAACACTACTCACCCACCCTCCTCCCTCCTCCACCAGTCTTCTGCTATCACTGCTGTCTCCCCCACAACACTACTCACCCACCTCCCTCCCTCCTCCACCAGTCTTCTCCTATCACTGCTGTCTCCCCCACAACACTACTCACCCACCTCCCTCCCTCCTCCACCAGTCTTCTACTATCACTGCTGCCTCCCCCACAACACTACTCACACACCTCCCTCCCTCCTCCACCATTCTTCTACTATAACTGCTGTCTCCCCCACAACACTACTCACCCACCTCCCTCCCTCCTCCACCAGTCTTCTACTATC